TGTAATAAAAGTAACACCTCCACATTAAACTTGTTACCATGAAAGTGACACATTCACACTTAACTTGTTACTTGAAAGTAACACATAAAATATGATTTATTGTTTATTTTTTTCAGTTTAAATATACCTAATTTATCTTTTGTTTTTTCCTTATTTTTATTTTCTATTTATTTTTTATACTATTTAAATATTAATTGTTAAAATTCTTTTTATATTTATTTATTCCATAACACATTTTTGAATATTTTAAATGGAAATAACATTAATTTAAGGATTAAATTATTATTTTTATTCAAATTTTATCCCTCAAAATTTTTATCTCTAATCATTTCAAAACAAAACATGTTTTATTTTGAAATTAAAACATACAATTTGTTATAAAATGATAAAAATAAACAACATTAAAATTCTTTATTTACGTTACAACCTTTATCACATTTTTATCATTATGGTGTGTTTCAAATATATAACAAGTGTGTATAATATTTATTTTTCATTGTTTTAATATTACAAATTAACAAATAATTTATAATCATTTGTTAAGATTAGACAAAAAACAATTATGATTTTAAGGAAAAATGATTATATATTTTAATACATTATCAAATATTACTAATCATTATAAATATGAAACTTCCAAGAAACAATAACGAATTGTTTTAAAACATTTAATAATAATTAAAACAACTTAAATTAATTAATAAATATAAGAAACCCAATTATTTATTTAAAAGTTATAATCAACAAGATTTTCAGATAAATCAAAAAATTGTATTTACACCACAAAAAACTTCGTTCAAAATTCTGGCAAGTTTGTTGTAACAAATACAATGAAAATTAAAAAGTGATTTATATTTTTTAGTTGAAATAACAATAATTTCTTGATGGATACAAACCTTTTGGAGCATATAAAAATAGTGGTATTAACAAAAATATCTTAAAAGTCGTTGAATACACTAAGGCGAGATAAAAAATTTTTATTTTATTCAAACATTTATTATAAAGTTTGTATATTTTATAATTGTTTTTATAACACTTACAAAAAATATCGTCAACTAAAACTCATTACAGTAAAAATTCTATCGGTGTGTGGAGTCATGAAAATGGTTTTCCCAAGGTGTGTAAATTTTTTTTCTTTTCTATTTTTATTTCTGGCAAAAAAACTAAAAAATCATGAAATTTGTAAAACTATCCACAATCAAGAAAAATGACAAAATATATTTTTTGTTTTTTATGAGAAAAAAACGCGACACGTGTAAACATAAAATAATATTGTGAATTTTTTTAATTTGTCTAGTTGATTAGAATAAGAACAACGCGTTATGTTTTTGTATAAAAACGTGGACTTTTGGTGCTGATTGGTTCTTGTCAATTTACAACTCAAGTACGTCTTTAACATCAGCCTCGATTGCTGCATTGTCTTCTGTTGATAACCTTGAAAAAATTTGCTTGTTCACCGTGTTATTACACGGTAGCATAAGGTGAGTGTCGATTTTTAGCCTCAATAGTTATCATCTTGTCGTCCTCCGCCTTGAACTCTTTTGCGTCTGCAACCATCCTGTCCACCTGTTCCTTTGAGAGTCTTCTTTCATGTTGTCTCGTTTTCAGCAGACACATTTAGAATCCCATTTGCATTTGTGTCAAATGTGACTTCAACTGTGAGACTCCACGTGGTGCTAATAAGATACCAAACAACCCAAACTTTCCAAGCAGGTTGCAGTGTGATGTCATAGATGCCTCGCCCTCACAGACTTAAATAAGCACGCCTGGCTTATTGTCTGCATGTGTCGAAAATGTCTGTGACGTTCTTGCTGAAATTGTTGAATTTTGTGGTATCGATTCTGTCATCACACCAATCACAAGCGTGTATGTGATTGGTGTGGAAGTCGGTGCATTTTTTATTATCATTTAAAGTTTAATTTTTTTTGAGAAGCATTTTCTGCTTTTCTTCTGTTATCTTTTTTGAATTTATTATTGTTTGATAATTTTTCTCTTTTTAAGTTTTTATTACCAAGTCTTTACTCTTTTAAATTAAAAACAAATTTGCAATTGACATTATTTTTGCGGGTTTTGGTGCCAAATGTGTGGGAAATCATTATATTCTATCGGTGTGTAGGCCACTTTTGATTGGTCAAAACCACACACCGATAGAATTTCTACTGTACTAATATTCAAAAAACAATCAGTACCTAAATCCTAATAATAAAAATAAACAATCAAAACAAACAATTTAAATTTTATTTGTAATAAATAGACACCCTATTATACATTGACAATTAATATTCATGCTATCTGTGTTTTTAATATTATTTAATTGAAATTGATAAAAATAATTTTGATTATATACGATTATTCTATTGAAAATAAACAATTTTGTGTTGTATTAATAAAAAAGTATTAAAGTTTGGTATAAGAGATAATATTTAAATTAATAAATATAATGTTGGTGAATAATTATAATAAAGACCAATTTTTAATAACATTATAATTTAGTAAACACATTATGTTCGATATAATTATTACTGACTTTAAAAATTGGATATTTAGTAAAAAAACAAAAAAAACATAAATTCTAAATTATCTATGATTATTGAAATTAATAATAATGTTTTAAACTGTTTCCAAATGTAATTTTAAATATTGTCAATTCAAAAAAAGCATTTATTTAATATTTTTGTATCTTTCCTTTTTATAAAAGAAAACTTCATGACATCTATTTAGTTTGTGTCATATTTAGGTACTTGGGTCATAACAGTTTTTGATATTTGTAAACTATGTTTTTATTGTGACAAAAAATATATTTTCATCTAAAATATTTTTTAAAATAATAAATTTGATAACACTTTTAATTTGTAATCATTATTATATACAGTTGTTTGTATACAATTAATTAAAATAAAAATGTTGTTATGTTCATTATTTCAAAAAATCACGTTTCAATAATAAATTAATGAATTAAATTGTATTAACAGTGTAAATAAACAAATAACGTTTATTCTTATATTTGGTACTTTTGTTTAATTATGTTAGTATATGAATATAAAGGAAAACAACTTATTTTAGTTTCGTTTTTATTTATTTAAAACATCACATCATTACTATAAATAATCAAATCAAATTATAATAAATAATATAATTTGATTTTTTACATTTACAAACATAAAAAGTCACATTTTTTTGTTTGTAAATGTGAGTTGGACTGTTTGATTTTATAAATTAATATATTTTTAACATGAATACAAACAATTTGTCATTATGTTTTTTTTGTTTTATCTATTAAACAAAAAACACGCGACCAGACTTGTTGTTTTTGCGTCTCTGATTTAAAAGCACAAGATGCCTTTGTTAATTACTTTAAAACTGAACACGAAAGTTTCATGTGACAAGTCATTTATGTTACTATTAAACACAACACTTGTTATCTTTTCGTTCAAAAAATTTTCTAATTGTTTTTGTTTATCGAGCAATGCTAAAAAAAACGTTTCGTAGCATTCTCTGTTTACAATCGGTACATCTCACATTTTTTTATTTAATCATTTTTAATGTTATTCATATTGATAAGTTAAATTGTTTTTCAAGTGGTTTGGTCTTTATTTTGTATTGTTTTTCAATTTAAAAGATTTGAAAATTTATTAAATTATAAACAGTTTTTATTTCATTTTGTTTAAATTTTATTAGAATTACTATTAAATGTTTGTGTGATGACTTCTCGTTTTTCATCTGTAAGCACATAATTGAACTTTTTTATTTAAAAGGGTTTGTTTTATCCAATCGTATAATTATTCAGTGTTAGCAAGTTTTTGAGATGGTTAGTGTGACTTATTGTGAATAAAAGCAGTTTATATAACAACATTTCAAAATTATTTAAATTCTTTTTGCAGCTTTTTTTACAAAGAGTTGGAATTAATGTTAAATGATAATTCATTTTTATTTATTCATTGTTTTATCAAGTTTTTTGATTGGATAAATATTATTATAGTTAAAATATTTATTTTATGTAAATTGTTTAAATTTTTTTGTATAATAAAATTTAAAAATAATATTACATTTAACAATTTTAATTAAAATTATATAACAATAAAAATCAAAAAATGTCTACTTATGCAATCTTAATTCAAACTCTCATATTAGTCAAACAATTGTTCAATCATTTTTATGTACAATACTATTTGTATTTGAATTTCTATTTATTGAAGAATATTTTCGACAAATAAAAAAATACGACAAATAGATACGTTTTTGAATAACCGAGTGTATTCGAACATAATTATTGGGTTGTAATAAGTTATTTGTTATTTATTACCGTTTATTTGGTTTGGCAGATAAATGTTATTTGTTTATAAATTAATATTTGGTTGATTTTTAATTCAAATATAAAAATCTGATTTCAGATGTCGTTTTTCTATCAAGTTGTAAATATTCAATACCACTTTTATGTCGTTAGTAGACTTACTTTAAACACATTTTAATAGTTTAATATTATTAAGTTATTGAGTATCAAAAACATAAGTAAAAAAAGTTAATTACAATGTGATCTCAATAAAAAAAATAAAATTATTTATAGCATAGATTCTTACGCTAATATCTTGTGCCCAACACTTTTGAATAATATCAAAGTTTTTTCTATATTTTCAACTCGTTTTTTGTTAATCACAAACTCTACTTATTTCCATAAAAATCAAAAAGATGTTTCGTGTATGTCTGGTTTCTTATATTTGTCTTTTTAAGTATTTCAGCCACCATATAGACAAGAGTTCCAATTTCCTTGGTGGATGTCATGTTAGTCATTGACATGTTCACATTTGTTGCACTTCCAAAACCTGTCAGTTTTGCTATTACTTTGTCATCAACATTCAATGAAACTACAAATATTTTGTCTGGTTTGATATCTTTGTGTAATAACACATTTTCATGTAAATACAATATACCACGTAATGCATCTAACAGTATTTTAACTCACAATTTTGTGTCTATAGTATCGGTTTTCTTTCTCTTTTTAATTAAGTCTTGTTTGCAGATCCATATTCTGCAAATTCAGCGACCATACAAAACTTGGTTTTTATAAACACTGCGCCATAGAAATTAATGATAAACTCACACTGGAATTTGTCTAACAAGTGCACTTCATTTTCAAACTCTATCATTGAATTATCGTCTTGTTCACGACTTATTTTCATTTTTAATAGCCACTGTATTCCTTCTGAATGTTCCTTTATATACAAAACCAAAGGAACCTTCACCAATTTGACTTGTTTCTTCCAATTCTTTATAATTCAATTTTGACGATTTTTCAGTGGTGACATTTACATTAACACTTGTTGTGATTTGTTTTCCATTAGCAATATCAAGCGCAATAACTGCTATTTTATCATTGATCTAACATAAACACAATTGTGTTATTGATATCTAAAACTCACAAGCCTCACCATGATGGAGCGTAACAAGAGATGCAACATTTCTGATTTTATAGTAATCAAACTCATTCGCTACACACATCTGCACTTTCATGTTGTGTTCTGTGATGTTTCCAATACATATTAATTCTTTATTCTCTTTGTCAACTGGAATGAAATCATCATTTTCAAAATTTTTTTATAAATACTTTGCCGAAACACATAGATTCAAACTAAGGAATCATCAAATTGTTGAAACGCTAATATTAAATGTACACAAATTTTTATTAACTTTGTGTTGAATACGCTTTTGATGTATTTTGAGTTTCAGATAAAAGATAATGAATACAAATAATATTATGATAACAATTATTGCAATTGGTATCCTAATAACAACACCACAATTCATCTTAAACACACAACTCTCACCATCATCCGAGATTCTGTTACTCTCTTCACATGAAGTGTACTTCGAGTTATATGCCGAAATACAATCTGATACATTGTGATATTCAACACAACTCCTTCTCACTAAAACTTAGTCTATTTAACATGATAAACACTCTTCACCATTTTCACATGTGGCACAACTTTCTTTACAATAGAAACAACGCCCATTTTGTAAATAATAAGACTCATTACAAAGTAAACACCCTTCAATTTTTGACTTCAAGCAATTTGAAAGTGTTGTGTTTGATAAATACAGTTTGCTGGATTCATCTACAATTTTAAAAATCCATCTTTACTTAACAAACACTTGTTATTATCCAAACAAATATCACAAAATATGTCTCACTCATCATAGTCTTTTTCTACTTTGAAATACCCAACATTGCAAATAGCACACCCTTCATTATTCGGTAATGTTACTTCACATCTCTATGCCAAATTCACCAAGTGTCTGGCATTTCACAAAGATATCAACAAAGTATCCACTGTGACACGTGGAACAATACGTTACATTTAAACGACTTATACAGTCATTCATGCATTTTCATAACTATTTTGTTCATGTAATACCCAGTTGGACATCGTTGACATCCATTGTTATTTCGTGCAAACGGTCGACTTTTATTTGTGATTTCAGTGCATATTTGGTGTTGGTAATTGAAAAGTTCCGTGTCTTGACTTTATTGAGATTGTCAAATTGTTCAGCACACACCCCATCTTTCATGCTGAAAGTATATTGGCACTCAATGGATTTTGTTGTATTAAGTGAGTAGCATTTACAGTGCAACTCAACATCAGTTTTTGTGAAAAAGTTGTACTTGCTTTCAACGTTCTTTGTGTCAACTTGGTATTATCCAGCTTCACGTTGTGCACATCCACTTTGACTTGTACGTTCACAATTAACTTATTTTTTTTAATTACACTTTGATTTGCACTGTACATCAAGTATTTTTTTGCATTATTTGACACTTTAACTCAAAACAGATATCAAGGTTTTCAGTCTTTAATTGAGAAAACTGTCCTTTGCTAATTTCAAAATCGTTTTCTTTGCATTGAACATACAGTCCATCAACAATTGAATTGCATTTTGTTTGTGTGGTGCATGTTATCTGTTTTATATCAAGTATTGTCGAATCACTACATTTTATTAAGTTGTTTTGAGTTAAGTAAACTGCATTTGTTGCACCACAACTGTAACTATGTTTTGTGTTGTCAAATAAGTTCTCGTTTGCAG